CCCCTTCCCTTGAGTATGGGTGGAACTAGTGAATATCGTGGGCTACTGCTCCTGTGATTAAGTTATCAATGAGTTGATTTTGAGTTGGTCAAAAGCTCATCTGGTGGGTCTGACCTAGTCAGGTGAGCCCTTTAAAAGAAGAGGAAGCTCCAGAGAGATGCTCCCCTATTGACCTTGAAGGAGCAGACCTTGTTATAGAGAGGGCCATGTGTCAGGGAATAGTGGGCAGCCTCTAGGAACCGAGAGTCCTACAGTTGTGAGGAACTGAATTGTGCCAGCAACCATGAGCTTGAAAGAGGAGACCAGCCTTAGTTGCGAAACCTTGACTTCAGCCTGAGATCCTGAGCACAGAACCCAGATGTGCAGGGACTGACTCACAGAGAAAGTTAATAAGTGTTGTTTTTTGTTGCTACATTAGTGGTAACTTGTTACACAGCAGTAGATAACAAATACACTTGGTTTGATTTTTGTTTTTTTGTTTTTTGTTCTTTTGAGTTGGAGATTTTTAAGAGCACCTGGGGTCGGGCATGGTGGCTCACGTATGTAATCCCAGCACTTCGGGAGGCTGAGGAGGGCGGATGGCTTGAGCCCAGGAGTTCACAGCAGCCTGGGCAACATAACGAGACCTGGCGGAGCTATCTCACTGCCATCAGCAACATCTGTGTCTCCTGCCCCTTGGGACCTAACCAGTCCCCAGACCGGTCTCCCGCATCCGACACCTCTAGGAGTCTTGCCAAGATCCTGGTATCTCGGGCCATGACACGCGGGGAGTAGCCAGACTTGAGCCCCCCAGGGTCCACAGCTGAGCATTCCCGGGCCAGTCCCGGCCTAGGTGGACATGAGCCGCCCCCGTCTCTGGGAAGGGCTGTGCCGCCCTGCCCTCACTGAGCCCGTCTCCTCTCTGTCCTCGCTGCAGATTGAAATGCTAGAACACAAGTACGGGGGCCACCTGGTGTCCCGGCGCGCCGCCTGCACCATCCAAACCGCCTTCCGCCAGTACCAGCTCAGCAAGAACTTCGAGAAGATCCGCAACTCGCTGCTGGAGAGCCGCCTGCCGCGGCGCATCTCCCTGCGCAAGGTGCGGGCGCCCGC